AAAGACTTTTTTTGCGATCCGATGACGCATCTGATCAACATCGAAAGTGTATTGTTTCAATAATACCATCTAATACTTTCCTTCATGCAAGAATATGATGACTGCTAGAATCATCAGTATTATTACTATGACGACTGCTGGTATCAGCCGCATTCATAATGAATACTCGCATTATCATAGTCTTATGTCTTTAGATCCATGCAGCCGTTTCGAAGAAAACAAAATTGAGGGCTCAATAAGTGAAAACAAACCTGGAAATAGGTTTGGTTTTAGTGTCTAGTTTTGTTGATTGTTCAACTTTACGCAACAAATTTGGTGATCTTGGATACTGAATTTGATCGGAAGATGGTTGTTTTAAATGACGTATGAAGGATGGTGAGGTGGCTGATGGTTGTTGTTTTGTTATGGTCGTTGTTGCGGTGGTTGTTTGCTTTTCAGATGCTTGCAATCCTGATTTATATCCTAAACATGTGTTCTCGTTATCGTTTCACAAATTCCAGATTCGGAATGAGTCTATTTGATATACGCACATTCATCAGAATGAAACTACCCCCCATTGATTCCACAATACAGCCGGACAAAAATTAGCGACATAAAATATGCGAAGATGATCGAGTGGGAAGAATCGGTAAAGTTTTTGTGGAGTGAATAGAAAGTTTGTTTTGATTTGATCAGGCGAATGAATCAATAATGATTGGTGAACTTTAATTTCTGCTAATTTTTCGATTCATCTAAAAATTCATTTCACAATGCATTTACATTTTAAATCAATCACACTTATCGCATAATTATTAAAACCTTTCCATTTGATAACCGGTTTAATTCAAATGCTCACAATTATTTGATTATTTTCGTCTATCACTTCGTTCGGAAAAGAAGTTTCGCTTCGAAAAACTTAAACCCGAACCATAATCAAAAATAGAAAACGACAAAAACGAGACAACATAAATGCGCATAGAATGTAATGTAGTCAACTTCTGAAATATGCACAACATAACCTCCCAGTTAAATCAATTTATATGAAACATTTCATTCTTCAAAGTCAAGACAATGCATGCCTTTGATGGTTATTCAATCAGTGAGGTGGAAAATAGCAAAGAAATAAACTCACTTCGGGGAAGACGAATATTCCGAGCAACTGGAAAATTAAAAAATGAAA